CTGCCAGTTTGTGAGTAAGGGACGTCAGATCGGACCATCAGCCCACAGCGTCTGATGATACTGGAGTCGAACTGCTGCCGCATAGATCACGTGATTGTGTCTTGCCAAACAAATTAGGATTTCAGTCATCGCAGTCATCGGTCTTCATGGTGTTCCAGATCTAGAGCAGTCCTTTAATTCACCGGTGGCCGCGTGAACTGAGCGGTTAATGTTCAAGTTAGCACCAAAGTTGCGACAGGACATCCCTGAGTAATACATGCCAATAGCTTGTGTTTTGTCTGAAAGTCTACGTCTTGCCATGTCATAAAGTTAAGTTTTAGTACTGTCGTCTTTTGAATCACCCGTGAAGATCCGGGTTAGAATTGATCTTCAGTAACCCATGCTTGTCGTAAGATGCGACTAACGGGGTCGGGTGGTCAGGCTCGCTGACTTGGTTGACACATGTCATCATATCCCAATTGCGTAGATTGATGTTCATGCTGTTGATCCCTGGATTGTCTGGTCCAGACTCGATTACTTACAGACCGCCGCCATATAGCTGGAATATTGCTGAGTGCGGCGTAAAACTCACTCACTCACTCTTTTGAATCAGTTCATAAAACTGCAGCACATACCTTTATTATGAATTGTATAGTTCAGTGTGCCAAGGACCTGAACACATAAACCATATATGTTTTCCAGTATGCTATGGTATGATCACCTATTTGGACCCATACTGAATCAAGTGGTGCTTAATTAATGCTCCTATGTATATATCTAATGTAGAGAATGTCATTATTTTACATTAAATATTTGATCACTCAAGGTGAGATGGAAAGTGCAGGAAGCCCGGTCTGGACTAACTGACCAGGAGGACGATCATACAGCCCATGTGGCCTGGTCACGCATGTCCAAAACCTGACAGCAGCGACGGACGTTCCTGTCTTCGTCACAGACAAAGGCGGAAACGGCGTTTTCCTTACTCAGCAGAAACACTTACTTTTATGGATTAAATATCGGCCTTGCCCGTCATACATGTCACGAAAATCGATTAGCTTTGTTACGTAAGAAGACAAAGCAGTGTTGCAGTACGATAATTGCACAGAAGCATTAGGACTAAATGCCAGGTTGTGTCATAGAGTCTTTAAAAGCCAGCAGGCGACAGTTATTAATGCTCTGCGATGTTGTTAATGGCTTCAGTGAATAACTAGTGTTGCATCCTCCGCCAGGGCGCCAGGGAAAGGACGTAAGCAACTCAGTCAGCCTGATGGGAGCTTCTTGGAGCTGTGTCACTACTCTGACGTGGGCGGGTGGCACGATGTCGGCTGTGCCAAAGTCCTCTCCCGTCGAAAGGCAACTGTGTGTGTTTCGGCAGCCGGTAACAACACCGCGCACAGCATCGGTGAGATTGTGAACAGTTAAGATGGATCCCTACTAGTGTTGAGCTTTCGCCAATTTTAGTTCATTTTAGACGACATAATTGTTTTGACAAAGTAGAAAGAAATACACACTGATGTATGATTCACTGTCGGAAGTATACTCTCCCAACAAAGAAACGCATTGGTCTATTTTCACGAACTTAATCTGCTGACTTAAAAGTGAGATAACACATGTAATTCTTGATCAGATGCATCACATTTCACAGTATAAAACATGAACATTATGTTAACATGTATACCTTATTAAACGTTCAATAAGTGAAGGCGTCCCTTCCCAGTTGGGTGTTGTCTTCAGTGTCTGTTGTGGCCACTATGAGCCCCCAAAACTGCTCTGCATCGTCTTGGCATGGACTGAATAAGTCTTTGAATTCGACCTTATGGAATTCTGGCCCATTCCTCTTGTAATGCCTGCGACAGTTGATCTAACGTCTGTGGTGCCAGTTGACGTTCACGTACGCGTCGACCGTGGTCATCCCACAGATGCTTGATGGGGTTGAGATCGGGCGATTTGGAAGGCAATGGAAGCACTGTAATGTTCTCATTCTGAAGATAATGAATAATGGCATTCAAAATTTCGTCTCTGTAACGAATAGCACACAAGGTTAGATTTCTGGAAGAAGAACATGGCTTCCCACATCATGACACTCTACCAACCGTATCGGTCAACCTGGGCGACACACTTTTGGGAAAAATGTTCATTTCGACGTAGACAGGTACTCTTCCGCCACGGCACTCAAGCACAAAGCGTGATTCGTCATTAAAACCATACACGTCGCCAGTTTGGTAGATTCTATAATCGAACATTATTGCACCACTGGATCGGTCGACGTCGATGTAGTTGTCGCAGCACAGGGCCAAAATGGCGTCTTATAGCGCGAAGTCCATATTCTCGTCAACGATTACGAACGGTTTGCACCGACACGCTCCTCACACCCAGGCACTGCAGTTACAAAAAAAGTGCCAGGATGTACGTATCCTGCGTTGCAGTGGTAATCCGAGGTCTACCTCTTCGAGGCCGATCTTGCGTGGAAATGGATTGTTGATATCAGTCCAATAAACGACTGATGGTACTTTGGTGAACATTGAGGTGACGCCCAACGGCAGATTGAGACTCCCCAGCCTCCAGACATCCAATGGCAACGTTTCGATCTACAGCAGTGAGTCGCGGCATAAAGATATTATTTATGTTTAGCTAAACAATGCCCTCGATCGTCTAAAAGCAAAACGGCCTTATATAGGTAGTGTCCCTGCTCACCATTTCTCAGAACTGCATGTGCATAAACCTCAAGGACATTTTCAAGCAAGTTGACATTTTCAAACGTAAACGTGCACTGAAGTTTCCAAAGATGCGTTTTTGCGCTGTACATTCGTTCCAGGGACACACGCCAGTATTATAAAGGCGAATCAAGCACAAATATTTGAAATTTCATATATTATTGTCTTACCTCACACATAAATGTAGTTTTCTGATTGGCTGAGCGCTCTTCGATTATTTTCGATGTACCCTGCTTACAAGCGAATAACATTTTCTACATTACCCGCTGCATGGGTTATGCCGAACTCATTTGGTACTTTGTGTTAGTAATTCTATATCTCGAATAATTGAGTCACGTATGATGTACGGAAATTACCGATCTTTTGCGAATGCAAATCGATGGAAGGGAGATAACTCTAAATTTGTTTTTCTTCTGTGTCGTTGACGGTATTGGCTGATTGCCTAACTCAGGTTCTCCTTATCATGATCTGATATCCGTGCTTCAAACTGTTCAAAATTTACATTGAGGTGTGTGGTAAGATAAATACGTTGTTCACTGGTCCCTTCGGGCTCAGGGAACATAATCAAACATAGATGGTACTGATGTACCCCTCCTGACCAGTGAACAACTTGTAATATCACCTTATCGTTTCCTTTTTTGGAGAGTATAATTAAATATGTAACATGTTTCTTTTACAGGATTTACTTCTTAAACAATCGAGAATGTTTTCTTTTTGAATGTGTTTCTCATATGTGACATATTTTTCTGTCATCTAGCTCCAGACATACCAGTAATGCCTTTGACTGAAGTCTTTAACAATAGCATTGTAATCAACGGCTTGTCAGTTCCGAATTACAAAATGGCCTACACCTTCGCATGTGACAACGGCGAGTTCACGACACGTCACTTCCGGTGTAATGGCGTACCAGACTGTTTGGACGGAAGCGATGAAAAAGGATGTGGTATGCCTCAGCATTATACCAAAATATTAATAAATATAGTAATTATAACTAAACATATAAAAATAAAATGTGTATTTGAGGCGACAGCTTGAAAAGTGATGGCAGTTGTTCATAATTTATAAACACACCAAAGATCTGTTCTTGAGAAACATTGTTTATCAATTCATTTAGAGAGCACGTGTGCGACTACCGACTTCAAGTGTGACAACGGTCGCTGTGTGTCCTACAACCTCTATTGCGACTTCTGGGACGACTGTGGCGACAACAGCGACGAAGCGGGATGTGGTAAGCCAACGGCCAATGTGTTGTTACAGGTGTTTAAGTTGAAGACGACGATATTATCAAAATTTGTATTATGTTTTACAGAGACAAATAGATGCAATTATTATTACGATTATCTGTAGAAGCAGCAGCAGTAGTAGTGAGTGAGTGAGTATCACGGCGGGGACACCAGAAATGGGCTTCACACATTGTACTAATGTGGGGAATCGTACCTGGGTCTTCGACGTGACTAGCGGACGCTTTAACTACTAGGCTACCCCACCGCCCCAGTAGTAGTAGTAGCAGCAGCAGTAGTAGTAGTAGTAGTAGTAGTAGTGTGTAGTAGTTGTAGTAGGAAGAGGAGGAGGAGGGGGTGGGGTGATTTAGTTATCTAGTAGTAGTGTAGTAGTTGTAGGAGGAGGAGGGAGGGGGGAGTGATTTAGTTATCTCCAGTTCCCCTTTAAAATAGTTAATAGTCTATGTAATTGTTGGTAATACCATTTCAGGTTTGGAAACCTGTCACCTTTGTGTAGTATTATATATCAATTCCTGGCATAAAATTATGGTATATCATGTTTGCAGTGCGCAAGGGCTGTGGGGAAGGTTCGGTGGCCTGCAATTCGGGCCAGTGTGTACCCTCTTCATGCTTCTGTGACCTTCACATTGACTGTTTTGATGGATCAGATGAACAGAGTTGCGCCGGTACACATACATTCTACTTTTCTCTGTTTTTCATTGGTGTCGGCCTTCGGTAAAAACTCCTCAATAGTAAGGACCACTTATTATGCGATCCATATTTTTCCCTTTCTTCTTTTGATCGGTGTGTGACTGATTGCCATGCATTTTCCATTAAGAAACGTGTTCATCTAAACACCAATCCTGTTACGATGGTACCTGCACCCCCGGGCTGTGGGTGAGGGACGGGATCACGGACTGTGCCGGGGTCCAGCGGGAGGATGAGACGGAGCTGCTGAGGTCGGACAGCGTTCTTGTGAACAACAGCAGGATGACGTGGTGGTGTGAGTTGATTGAGAGTTGACGGTAGTGTCGGCGGCAACGTCAATGTTGACGGGGAACGTAGTAATGGGGTACAGGCAGCTAGCATGGAATCTGTGGCCATCTTAGTAAGATGCCTCAGATGGGACGGGGGACTTAGTCAAAGGAGCCTAGGGGTTGACGGTGGACTTACAATAGAGCTGAGAGTGAACGTTTACTTTGAGGGTGAACTTACGTGAAATAGCTGAGTGTGAACGTTGACGTTGAGGGTGGACTTACAATAAAGAGCTGAGAGTGAACGTTTACTTTGAGGGTGAACTTACGTGAAATAGCTGAGTGTGAACGTTTACGTTGAGGGTGGACTTACAATAAAGAGCTGAGAGTGAACGTTTACTTTGAGGGTGAACTTACGTGAAATAGTTGAGTGTGAACGTTTACGTTGAGGGTGAACTTAAGTGAAAGAGCTGTGGTGAACTTGGGTGAAAAAGCTTACATGTAACTTTCATGAAACACGAACATACATTAAAGAGCTTGGGGTGAAATTATGTGAACTAGCTGAGGGTTGGGTATCAATGTAAGGAATTTTTCATTTGACATGGAAATGTTATCGATTTGTAAAATATCTTTCGTGATGTAAATCTTTGTACCTTTAAACTGTGTATTGATGTCATGTTTCGTTCTGTGAACACACATTTATTATACCGCGTGAATGTGTTGAGCATTTCTGTAAATTCGTCTGAAAATATACGTTTAAATGGAAATAGACCTAGTTATGGAGTACGCATGTGCAATAATAGACACTATGTAAGACGTAACTATGCAAGTTATGGAGTACGCATGTGCAATAATAGACACTATGTAAGACGTAACTATGCATTGTGAACTCACCATTTGATATCTGAACCTTGTTAAAAGTGATATTTACTAGTGATATTTTGTCCAGATTCCGAGAGCAGCGTCTTTGCAAGCCATCGGTGCCTGGTTATTCCTGACGGCTTCGGCAGATACGTGGTCTTCCAGGGGACAAAACACATCGAGAGACCAATACCATTTGAAAACCTGACCTGTGGTAGGTTGGGTTCCAGACAAGAGTAGGTCCACAGCAACCTGCACTTATCACAAGAAGCTGCAGTGAGCTGGTGGTCTGGCTTGGTGTCCTCGTCTGTCAGTCTTCGGACTCTGACACAACTCGATGCTGCTCATATGAATCATTGGTTTGTCGGGGTCAGATTATGTTATCCGCCCTGATAATGCTAAATATTGCCGACTGCGCTTTTCAAGAACTCATTACTACCTGTGGGTTTTCAGTAATGCACACTCTTTCAATGGCGGGGGTACTTTGCCGTTACTAAAGTGTGCATTTGAAAAGTGATCCGTTGTCAGAAAGTTACTAGGCACAAATAGTCGCCGAAACACTGCAAAGGTAAGGTCCAAAACACAAGTGGGATAACTGTGTCAAAAGAATTACCATCGAATAATCATTTCTTGTTTGTTCTACATTAACTAGTATCAAAAAACTTATTTTTGACGGTCAGTATATTAAGCAGATTTGAGTGATGCGAATGGGAAAACTCTCACGATATCACATCCCTAATCACGAAGTGATCCAATACTAATTTGCATTCAACACTTCTTCGTTTTTCTACCCAGCAAACTCTGAATGTGGTCCGGGAGAGTTCAAGTGTCCGAACAGCTACTGTATACTTAGCAGCAACGTCTGTGACAGCAAGCAAGACTGCCCTTACGGCGAGGATGAACAGGATTGTGGTAAGTTCTATTATCATACACCTATACGCACTGTCATCTTTATAGAATCAGCACAGTTTTACGTTGTTGCTTCTTAGAATTTATGCCACAATGCTGTTTTCAAATACCTGGCACGTGATTTAAATCCTGGTTGAAAGATGAAGGTAAAACTCTGAAAATAGAGATAAATCTCATCTCATTCTACGATCTACTGTATGTAGTGAGCATACAGTCCCAGACATATTTATTATCCATATCAAAGTCTTCCTTTCAATATACAGATGACCTCTCGTGCCCGTCCTTCTTCCGGTGCAGAAACTCCACACGCTGCCTCCATCTTGCAAAAGTATGCGACGGAGTTGTGGACTGCCCCCTAGCGGACGACGAGAGACGATGTGGGGATCGATGTGAAGGGCGAACTGGCTGTGCGGAAGGGATAGTCTCTGTGACCCCCGAGCTTGACCTGTACATGGGGACTATTGTCTTTTACAGCACCACAAGACTGGATCTCAGCGGACACAACCTAAACTCAGCAAACTTTCACATTGCTGACCCTCTGGACGTAGGACACTTGAATGTATCAAACTGTTCGATTAAAAGATTAAACCGTGAAGGTAACATAAGATATCTCCTTAATCTAAAAGAACTTGACTTGAGCTACAATAAGCACTGGTCCATACGACGGGCTCAATTCTGGAGGTATCAAAATCTCCAAATCCTCAACTTGTCACATAACAGAAGGCTATCAAAAGTATGGCCCAAAACATTTCTGGAAAATTCCAAACTGAAGATTTTGAATCTTGCAAACTGTGCCTTAAAATCTCTTTATGTTAACATGTTCTCTGGACTGACATCCCTGGTGCACTTGGACCTGTCTTACAATAGGATAGACTTCATTGAAGAGGGGTCCTTCGAAGGAGTTCCCGGTCTTAAGGAATTGTTGCTCAAAGGAAACCCAATAAGTCGATTTTCTGCTGGAATATTTGATGGACTTGTATCTTTGGAACTTCTCACAAGTGATAATTTCGTCTTGTGTTGCGATGAGGTGAAGCCGAAATCCTTGTCCGGGACTGGGTGCCATGCCCCCCAGAATTCTCTCTCCTCATGCAAAGACCTAATGCAGAAAGATCTCCTCCGAATTTTTATTTGGGTCCAAGGCTTCATGGCTCTGGTTGGAAACGCCCTCGTGTTCTTGTACCGCACCATCTACAACCGGGCCCCACTCCGACATCCGTACGGACAGTTCCTGCTGAGTCTGTGCATCTCGGATTTCTTCATGGGCATATATTTGATCATCATAGCTGCGACTGATCTCCGCTTCCGGGGACTCTACATCTGGCATGATTCGTCCTGGAGAAGAAGCACGCTGTGCCAGATGGCTGGCTTCCTCTCCACACTGTCATCTGAAGCTTCCGCCATCTTCATCTGCCTCGTCACCTTCGATCGATTCCTCATCATAAGGTTTCCATTCCGAGAAATATATTTGTCAACGCGATCCTCGGCCATCGCTACTGCCATTGGTTGGCTAGTTGCCGTGGTCTTCTCCGTTGTCCCTCTTCTCCCCGGGGCGTCAACCTGGCAGCTGTATGGCCAGAACGCTGCTTGTCTGGCCCTCCCGCTGACCAGTGAGCGGCTGCCAGGATGGCAATACTCGACCGCCATTTTCATCGGCTTCAACCTCTTGACGTTCCTTCTGATCGCCGTGGGTCAGTATCTCATCTACCGATACCTGAGGGAAGGCAGTGCTTTGAAGACAAAGCAAAGACGTAGTCAGGAGCTCTCTGTGGCCAGGAATCTGTCGCTGGTTGTCATCACGGACTTTTTGTGCTGGTTTCCAGTCTGCATGATGGGTAGGTGCACTTTCAACAGCTCTTCCTCACCAAAGCATTTTTTGAGCCAAGAACGTATTTAACAGAATCTCACAGCTAGACATAGTTTTAGACCTACACTTCGTCCCAGGAAGGAAGTTATCTTATGAGGCAATCTAAACTGTTCTCGATTTGAGTAGGATTCCTTTGCAGTGTTTTTAAGAAACAGATTAGCACTGTTTCGGTGTGAGGCATAGGTAACAGATGTTTTGTAATCTGCCATCGCGACACGCCGGTTCTTCTTGCTTCTACAGCGCTTATGAATGGTACGATATTACAGGTCTCATGGCTCTGAACGGCACCTCTATCAGTGGAGAGGTGTACGCATGGACCGCCGTGTTTGTACTTCCGGTCAACTCAGCTATCAACCCGATACTCTACACTCTGCCGTACATTGTGAGTCTACACTCATGACAAGCTGCGGATTTAAGATATTGCAAAGGACTCTAAATAGAACCTCCACCTCCATCATCAAACCAATGAAAATGTCAACCTAACTTACCTGTAATAATTACATACCTTGCGAGTAGTTGAAGCGCCACAGTCCTTGTCATAGTTTACATTAACAATGTCTTTCATCTTGGCGTCTGACAACAGTTTCATGTGCCTGCGCATCTATAAAACAGCACGACAGGTTTATGAACAGGACGCGACATAATCTTCTACGTACACCTGCTATCACTTGTTAGACAAGACATGCTCCGTGTGATGAACGCCTGGTGTACTTAGTTTGACATGACATGCTCCCGTGTGATGGGCACTTGATGTCATTAGTTTGATATGACATTCTCCCGAGTGATGGGCACTTGGTGTCATTAGTTTGACATGACATACTCCCGAGTGATGGGCACTTGGTGTCATTAGCTTGACATGACATGCTCCCGTGTGATGGGCACTTGGTGTCATTAGTTTGACATGACATGCTCCCGTGTGATGGGCACTTGGTGTCATTAGTTTGACATGACATGCTCCCGTGTGATGGGCACTTGGTGTCAATAGTTTGGCATGACATGCTCCCGTGTCATGAACACTTGGTGTCATTAGTTTGACATGACATGCTCCCGTTTGATGGGCACTTGGTTTCATTAGTTTGACATGACATACTCCCGTGTGATGGGCACTTGGTGTCATTAGTTTGACATGACATGCTCCCGTGTGATGGGCACTTGGTGTCATTAGTTTGACATGACATACTCCCGAGTGATGGGCACTTGGTGTCATTAGTTTGACATGACATACTCCCGTGTGATGGGCACTTGGTGTCATTAGTTTCACATGACATACTCCCGCGTGATGGGCACTTGGTGTACTTAGTTTGACATGACATGCTCCCGTGTGATGGGCACTTGGTGTCATTAGTTTGACATGACATACTCCCGTGTGATGAACACTTATAGTCATTAGTTTGGCATGACGGGCATCCAATAGCACGGACACCAATTCCAATTTTACTAGTATATATACATATGATTGATTTATTCACTCTGTATTGTTATGGAAGCAATTCAAAGAACATGTTCTAAGCTAAGGCCGCCCAGTGTTTGGATATTTCCGTACAATTCTCCGATTTTGCTTAAGACTACTCACTATGGAAATTCTTTGCTTAACTTAGGTGTAGTTTTTATGGATCTGGGAAGAGGTTCCTAGACTTAAGGATAGCTGTCAACAATTCTTCAAGTTTTTGGGCGGTGGGGTAGCCTGGTGGTTAAAGCGGTTAAGGCCCGGGTTCGAATCCCCACATGGGTATAATGTGTGAAGCCCATTTCTGGTGTCCCCCGCCGCGATGTCGCTGAAATGTTGCTAAAAGCGGCAAAAAATTATACTCATCCTCAATGTCAAGGCCCTCTTGAACACGGTCCCTGCTTATATTTAGCGAGGATGAAGTGTCCAGACACGGTTATTTACTGGCTGGAATACTGGAGTGCCGCATTATGCAACAAATAGACATATAATTTGACACTGAGTCAATATGGATAACAAACCTATATTATGGAGTCCTGATAGGGATAGGAAGCAGACTGAATCTTGTTGTATGTATAATGGAGAAGCTGTTATCCACAACAATACTTATTGTCGCTCTTACATCCAACGTATAAATGCCTTTTCACACTCTGATACATCCTATGTAATTTCTGTGATCTGTGATCTGTGATCTGTGATCTGTGTATTCCCAGAGACACCTGGACACCACCAACTGTTGCCGGAGGAAGCAGTCACTGTCCCGTGCTTCAAACAGCATGCAGGGTAGGTGCCACTACACACCTTGACTCCATCCACGGAATGCAGGAAATAGTTTTTAATTCCTGGATATATAGTTCACCAGGTTTGATCAAGACATATTATTGAAAGTGACAAGTATAATTGTGTAATTATAATTAGTTAAAATATAACATCAAATATCTAAAACACACACACACACACACACACACACACACACACGCGCGCGCACACAGGAAACACGGCAAACAAACAGGTGTCAAACTTTCACAAACACACGCCAGTACCAATATCGACATACTCGCACACAAGTAATATAACAAAACGAAGGGGGTGTTAGTTATAATTGTGTAATTATAATTAGTTAAAATATAACATCAAATATCTAAACACACACACACACACACACACACACACACACACACACACACACACACACACACACACACACGACACACACACACACACACACACACACACACACACACACACACACGAGACAAACAAACGGGTGTCAAACTTTCACAAACACACGCCAGTACCAATAGCGACATACTCGTACACAAGTAATATAACAAAACGAAGGGGGTGTTAGTTACCTTGTTACAGTGATGTTATATTCCATCTTTTCAGATATTTATGCATCAAAAGAATCTATTACTTCCCGGATGTGAGGTTGCCATCACGACCGGGGTCATTCAGCTTCTGCTGTCAACAGACGGTTACCCTCACTGATGCTTCCAGTGTTAAACACATCGTCACAGCTGCCATCCGCTTAATGTCATGTCACCAGCTACATGTTCCATCAGCTAGGTCTTTAGTTCTGGTAATAAATCGATGGATCTACTACAACTCTCTGACTTGTGTTTGTACACCGCCAGTAGATGTTTCAGCAACACATGTCTTGATTAAGTCACAATGGCCGAAATATGTTGTGTGTGTGAGTGTCTGGCGACCGACATTATGGTACTAGGATGGTAAATGGTATAAACACGCATTTTCAAAAGGGTTTCAAGGTGTCAGTATCTGTGCTTCACTTAGATAGTATGACTCTTTCCCATGAACACAACATTTCACATCAATGCGGACACCTGATAAAACATCTATGTCCTCACGTTATGACAAATTTATGAGAACACATTTTGACACATTTATGTGAACGCGTTATGACACATCTATCCCTAAAGGTTATGCCACATCTATGTGAACACCTGATGACACATCTATGTGGAGACGTTATGACACATTTATGTCAACGCGATATGACATATCTATATGTGAACACCTAATGACACGTCTATCTCGACACGTTACGACACATCAATTCACACACGTTATGACACATCAATTCACACACGTTATGACACATCAATGCACACACGTTATGACACATCAATGCACACACGTTATGACACATCTATGTGGACACGTTATGACACATCTATGTGAACACATTTTGACACATCTATGTCGACACGTTATGACACATCCATGTGATCACATTTTGACACATCCATATCGACACATTATGACACATCTATGTGAACACATTTTGACACATCAATGCACACACGTTATGACACATCAATACACCCACGTTATGACACATCTATGTGGACACGTTATGACACATTTATGTGAACACATTTTGACACATCTATGTGGACACGTTATGACACATCTATGTGGACACGTCATGGCACATCTATGTGGACACGTTATGACACATCTATGTGAACACATTTTGACACATCTATGTCGACACGTTATGACACATCCATGTGGACACATTTTGACACATCTATGTCGAGACGTTATGACACATCTATGTGGACACGTAATGACATCTATATAGACACGTTATAACATCCATGTTAGAGATTTACACACGTATGTCTGTCAATACACATGACCAATATTACCTTTACTGAGACACTATAAGAAACGTACGTAAAATGTTTAAGACATGCAATGTTAACATTCTGAATTTTCAGCTTTTTGAAACTACAAAACTACACGTGACCACCCCCACAAGACCATAGTGCTCGTGTATGGTATACTAATTTTCTTTCCTTTCACAAACATCAGACGCCGTATATAGTTGTAATAAATTGAATCGGCTACAAAATCCCCTTCTATGGGGATAAAATCCCCTTCTACTGACTGGATGCTAAAATAGGCCTCTTGTTGAAAGGAATGACACTTTTCGCCTCTACAGTTAATGACCCCGATACGTTCATTTATGATGCTGAGATGCGAACACCATGGTGTCTGATACTATGATGTAGCTCAATCCTTGAAACTCACCACAAACACCATGGTGTCTCATACTCCGGCATAGCTCAATCCTTGAAACTCACCACAAACACCATGGTGTCTCATACTGAGGCATAGCTCAATCCTTGAAACTCACCACAAACACCATGGTGTCTCATACTCCGGCATAGTTCAATACTTGAAACTCACCACAAACACCATGGTGTCTCATACTGAGGCATAGCTCAATATTTGAAACTCACCACAAACACCATGGTGTCTCATACTGAGGCATAGCTCAATCCTTGAAACTCACCACAAACACCATGGTGTCTCATACTGAGGCATAGCTCAATCCTTGAAACTCACCACAAACACCATGGTGTCTCATACTGAGGCATAGCTCAATCCTTGAAACTCACCACAAACACCATGGTCATACTGAGGCATAGTTCAATGGCATCACCTCAATTCATGGTTCTTGCATACACTAACCACAAACACCATGGTGTCTGATACTATGGTGTAGCTCAATCCTTAAAACTCACCACAAACACCATGGTGTCTCATACTGAAGCATAGCTCAATCCTTGAAACTCACCAAAACACCATGGTGTCTGATACTATGGTGTAGTTCAATCCTTGAAACTCACCACAAATACCATGGTGCCTCATACTGACACCTGTACAACAAACTCTGACCCCCATTCTGCTATTAGACACAGTTGGTGTTGGTGTTTATGTATGGTACTTACGACTATTGTAGCGCTAAGAGAGCTTCGAAAATATCGGCCCAGGTTTGCTATGGTTGATGGATGACAGCCAACGATAATTGCTTAGATTATTGCTCATGATGTAACTCACTGGATTGTCTGGTCCAGACTCGATGATTTACAGACCGCCGCCATATACCTGGAATATTGCTGAGTGTAGCATAAAATAACAAGCAAGCAATCAAAACAGTTGCTGTTTAGCAAAAAGGTAATGTTAATAGTTACTGTTGTGGAATGCTCTGTTTCAAACTATGCACTGGTTTACAAAGGAAAATCAACCAAATACTTATCTTGGGGATTAAGTGGCATTGTATGATTATAAGATAAAGCGACGTAGATGATACAAAAGAATACACCACGTATTTGTGTGTGGCGTTCGTATAGCTTTGAAAGCGTATGTCCACTTCGCGAGATTGATCTCCCTTAATTCGGTTATCTCCCTTTATATTTTCTTCGCGTTTTGTCACCCTTGCTACTGAGTTGTGCCCTAGGGGAGGTGTTTGTTCAGATGTTCCAACCAACACTATACACAGCTAGCCTTCCAAACTAGCCGCTCTCCGTCCGACAGCAGTGTTTACACGGCCACCCACACCCTGGTAGAGTTTGGACGAGGCATTTCCCCCAACCCCCTCCGCCAGCACCCCGGGCAGAGCTGTCAGAGAGTAGTCTTATCTTCGCCCAGTTCGAGTGCCTGTCTCTCCAGTGGATGGGGGGATATATCGCTTTGATCGAGCCACGGTGACTGAGGGTGTGGTTTGCTAGTCCGTCTTCTACACCATGAACCGTTAAGACAAATCTTAAGAATACATAAGAATAATTTGTTATTTTTGCTTGTATCAATGTTTGAACAATTTCTTTATTCTAATCAAATATGGAAAATCAGCTTTTCATATTGAAGAAATTGTGTTTATACTGTTAAAAGTCCCTGAATCCGATATTTTCAGACATTATATGAAGCACATCATGTTTTTCGACATTGGCTGAACTTGTGAAGATACACAATATATCAAATATACATGTTCTGTTTTTGTTGTTAAACCAGGTTTTCCACAGTGGGCATCTGTTTGTGCGTCAGTGATATGGCCTGCACTATCAGCTTCTGACAGTTGAAACCACATAATGAGGCGCACATTGAGGTGTTATCGGATGCACCGAAGTAAGCACTATTTGAAACTACAAAAAGGATCACTTGTCTGACGTAAAGAGCAGATATCCTTCATTTCTACTTGTTGATAACATGTTTTAACGGGCTGTGTTTAAGATAAGAGAGCAAATCGATTCGCTATCAGACTACTCCAGTTGCTTGTGCTTGTCTAACTAGCCATCGCAAACATAAACAGCGACATAACACAATCGACGGATGTGGGGGAGAGTGTAAAAACAGGATCCCCATTTACACGAATATGGAATAAATAGCTTGATTTGGACGGCATTGTTGTTCCTAATGAGAACAATGTGGTCCCTTTTAATTACTTCACCTTAATTTGCCCGACGGATCAGGGACAAGCGCTAATGGCCAGGCTCCGGACCACACAGTCAGCGAATCAGTGTGGTCCGATGTATGATGATGCATGTGGTTGCCGGAATTCCTCGGAATACAACTGAGTAAAGGGATCGAGAGCCGTAAGAGACAGACGGTGGAGATGGTTACAGGATGATGGTATTTTCTTGGTCGGTTTGTCCTAAAAACTTCACAGAAATAACATTATAGATTAGCTACACAAAATATCGCAGTAACAAAGAACACCACATGTGTTAAATTTTTAAATAAATAGCCAAAGCTTATTTAACTTATCGCGTGTTTACATGAAAGAGTAACTGTAACTGAATGACTATTTTTCATTTCAGAGAAAGGAAAACATTTCTCCATGACTAATTGTTTTATCGAAATTAATTTTCTTCGAAGGTGTTGTTAAAACTTACACACATATGGTAAAGAAATTGTCAGTGGAAGGGCTATAAGCGACTGTATGTATATGGTATTACGAAGATTTCTCTCTGAAATGTAAGTACGAATCATT